CACGTTTTACTTTTAAAGATTTCAGTACCTAAAAACGCCAGAAATTTCACTATTTCTCGGCCAATACAATTTACAATAAACCAACTCTGTGTTTTCGCTTTCATTTTCAAGGGTAGCGACACCTGTGACAAAGTATACAAACTAATTATACCTACAAATTCTTGTTTGAGATAGAAATCACTAAAATTCTGGTTTAAGTATAGAATAAACATGGAGTCGTGTGTAAAATGTTGTCATCTTACTTGAGGACACAAATTATAGAATTGTTAATAAATATTAATCTGAAAATTAAATACAAATGATCCTAAGTGTCCGTTCTAGTGAGTGAAGTAGTTTGGTTATTGTGCCTGACCTAGTTCCGTCGTAAATCCAATATATTGGCAGACTAACAGTATGGTTAAAATTGAGGTACTTTGGCATTTATTTAAATTATTCTTCTGTTCTCATGAGCATTGAAATTTATTTCACTCACTAGCGGGAACCATTGCGAATACATTGATATATAATAATATTCAATTATGTTAGTTTCTTCGATGATTTGTGTCCTCATCTGAAGCTCTGTTACAGGGTAAAAATATACATACTAAATCGCCCCCTTAATGAATGGTCTATTAAGCCATGAAAAAAAAACTATATTGTTGCATTTAATTTTTTTAGTAAACGGAGACAATTACAAAACTTTTCTCATCAGCGTCGTTTACCGTTGCCCAGGAAAATAATATTTTTATTCCCATATCATAAATATAAATTTTATTAATAGTTCTTTAAAATGAGCCATCGTTTATTGAAATCGATTAAGGCGTTTAGAAGTTATGACAATATAAAAATTTCAAGATGGCGTCCTTCATACTGGCTTGCTATGATAATAACAAAAAAAAAGCTTAAACAACACTTGTGAAGGATTTATACAGGGAGACTAGACAAGGAGTACGAACTTATACGGGAAAATTGACAAAATTTGTCCAAGAAATGGCAGAAGTTGGGGTGGCGCTAGTGTTCCATGTGACCCAAGTGAATGTAGCATAATAAATACGAGTGAAGTAAGCAAATAACCAATTTTATTTTATAAATGAGTTTAATAGATATATCGGGGAGGTATACTAACCTAAAAACTAGAAGTCAAGTCAATAATTATTATAATTTGTTTTTATAATGGTAAATAAAAAATTTCGAAAATAATTTAACGATACATATGGAACACTAGCGCCCTCTTATTTTTGTAAGATTTTTGTTTACATGGAGTTCGGGCTCCTTATATAGTCTCCATGGATTTATATCTAAAAGGTGTATTTTCAACTTAGGTTATATTGGCGAAATTTCGAAAATCCGACAATTTTCTGTAATACTGTAGCAGTTGCGCCCCCTAGCGGTGAAGTTACAAACTTGCAAATATTGTAAATAAATTTCTTTTGGCAGTATTTGTTGATGGAATTTTTATCCCATAATCGTAGCACTTCTAGTTTCCTCATATACATACTATCTATATACCATGAGTTTTGTTTGGATCTTGACCGGAAGGAATGCCTCATCGCTCTGTCCTTGCCCAGTAAACAGGGAATGGTGCGCATGCATTAGAAGCAGATGCTGTGGCGGGAATGTGACAATTTCGCTAGATACAATAAGCAAAATGTCACAATCTAAGCAATGGAAAATTCGTAGTAAGGACCACAGCCGTCTTGCTCTCTTCACTAGTTCATAATTTTGTGTGCAGGGTATGCGCATTGGGTTCTAATTCCTCGGGAGAGACAGAAAAGTATCTCCTTGGGGGCTTTCATTTTGGCAAAAATAGTAGCTATTAGCAACTTATATCAGCATATCAGTTCAGAGTAACTCTAAGCTGCTATTAGCTATTAATAGCTACTATTTTTGCCAAATCGAAAGGCCCTCTTTTCTCCGGACAATTCCGTACACAGGGGCCCATGGGGGTGAAACTAGAATGGGGATATAAGCAACGTGACATCACTTCCGGCCTGACAGGTTTTTATGATTGGTGGCTGACAGCCTGCTGGATGACGATTGGACCCTGACAGATTTATTTAGTTAACCATTGGTTCTTTTCAAATTTGCCGCAAAATATTCGTAAATCGGAAACAGCGCGATCCAGAATTTCTGTCATCTGTCGGAAATATGTCGGTTTTGTTTTTTGTTTTGGTGTGAATTTCAGGGTAAGTTGTAAATTTAAATTTTGATTATTATTCCTATGTTTATTGTCTAGATTATCCAACTTTTGAAAATAATAAATGACATTTTTAGAAATGCATTTGTTTATATATTTCATAGGAAGAAAAACATTAATACCTATTTATGCTTCCATTTATATACGTAAAAAATACGTTATATTAACTTTCAATAATTTTCTTCTCACACAAAATATTAATCTTTTGTTAATAAAATCTATTACGGTATTGAAATGACAATCCATTTAGTGTGATTTGTTTTAATTTAGTTCAAACATTTGAGAATACAAAAATATAATTTTAATAAAACTTAAATGGAAGTATCTTTAACAAATGTGATAGTAATGAAATTAAAAACTTCGTTTTAACAATAATTTAAAGAAACTTATTTACAGATATTTATAATACCACGTTCATCAGCGATTAGATTAAAATAGAAAAGAAGTGGAATATAGTACACTGTATTGTATCACGGCTATCCAAGGGTGTGAAGTAGAATTGGAATGTAAGCAGTGCAATGTCCAGCCTCGCTTCCAACCTTTGGTTCTTGACAATTCATTAGACAGTAATTAGTTCCTGACAAATTGTTTATCATCACATAGCTGGAGTAGTTTTCCAGAAGTAGTACAGCAATTAGTTTCTATCGTCTGACTTAAATTTCTTTTACTATGATGGCAAGAATGCAAATTATAAGGTAAGTTTTATATCATTTATTATATATGGCAAGCACTCGGGCAAGCACCAAAGCGATTATTTCTAAATGATAATAAACTTTTTTAGAAATAAATTGTAATTTTAAATAATTTACATTAGATTCAAAGCAACCAACACCGTTAGTTTCATGCATTTACGTACCTACTACAAAATACATTACATAATAATTAACGTATGAACGCATAAAGTAATGGACATTTTTTTTTAGGTTGGCTCGAGTTGTAATCTAGACAAAAATTCTCTAAGACAGACAGTTATTGATACATATGCTATATGAACTTACAAGAGACACAATTCAAGGCTGTTCTAAAAAATATTTACAGAGTATTGCTGGAAAGAATACCATAAAGTTGGAAGACCTAACGAGAAGGCTAACATAGTTAATATTTTGGTGAGTATTAATAATTATTACTGATCTGATGCATACAATTTATTATCCACTTAAATATATTTGATAAAGAAAAATATGTTTATGTTTTATATTTTGCAATAATTTGCAATATTTTTCTGATGGAATAAACTCCAAAGTAATATATGTAATTATTTACTAATGCAAGCATCTTTGTAGATACTGTTTTCAAGTGCAATATTTAAGAGAAGCAAAATATGAAGAATTATTAGCAGGAAACTGAAAAATTCAAGAAAGAACATGTTCACTGAATGATAAAACCTCTGTGTTTCAATATCATCAATGTTGTCGATTACCACAATATTTAAGATACGGTAGCTGTTGTAGAGCATAGTATCGATTTTAGTTAAACAGAGAAGAAAAACATATCAATAAATAATTCTTTCCTGCCTGCCAGAAATAATCAAGATTCTCTATCGACTTGATACTCGAAGTTCCAGACCAAATGTCTGGTAAGCTTATATTGTCGTTACGTCTTCAAAATGTGACGTGCATATTTTCAGTAAAACGCGTTAAGTTCTGCACATTCGATAAACAACATCAAAACGCATAATCTGTTAAAAAACAGCAATCTTATTTTTTACAGAATTGCGACTGTCTGCGGTAAAATAAAAAATAATTGTAATTCTTGAATAAAAAAGTCAAGAAACAGTTTCTTAACTCCACTGAACAATTTGATGAAGGTCACGTCATATTTTGAAGACAGCGACGAAATATTTTTCTTATTCAGTAATTTAAAATATTCTATAAAATTTGTGGTCAGTAAAAAAATTCTCTTTTGCAGTATACTTGGCATTTGAAAAGAAAGACTTCCTTCTGAATGAAATATAATGGATATTAAGCAAATGAAATTTGTTGAAGTTCTTGAGATGTGGACATATAAATAGTAATGGACTTTTTGGGGAGTTCTATGACGAAATAGGATGATGCATAAAAAGAAATGTCCTAGTACTATGTTTAATTAGTAGTTAATACTTTTATAATTATTCTACTCTAATTGATAATCAATATCTATTAGGGTTGCCAGATTGCCAGCTATCGATTACCGAACACCAGTGGCGGCTCGTGCTATATGAAAATGGGTGGGCACAACTTAGTTATGTATGTTTTGGGAGTGGGATCACAGAAGACAGATGCACAGGCAAAACAAAAAAAAAAACACAACACTTGCAAAATGTGATCTGTTCATTTGTTGAAACTTGTCAATGAAATGGCAAGGCAGTTTATTGTTTAACCCTAGATACAAACCTTCGCATATGGCATGGAGCTACCGCTTACAACACCAGTTCCTTGAGGTACAAGTTACCAGATGACGATGGTACCTAAACCTATTTACTAGAATTACCGAACAAATTTGTGTTCGGTTTGCCTTTCATTCCGGACACGAACAATTGAGTTAATTACCGAACAGTCCGGACGAAATCCGGACGGTTGGCAACCCTAATATCTATTGAAGATTTTGAAAACGTTTTAAACAAATTTTTATAACTTATTTAATCCATATTTGTCTTGTACATATTAATATTTTTAACTAAATCATATATTTAGTAAATAAACTTGATAGTGTTATATCTCTCTTTAATATATTTCTTCCATTTTTTTATCAGCCTGAAATTGTTAGCGTAAAGTAATAAATAACTAAAAAAATAAAAAGTAAATATTGTTCAACTTTGTATAATAGGACCTCATTTCTGTATAACTACTGATAATTTGTTTTTAATTTTTTTTCAGTGAAGGCTTTGGAGAACATTAAGAGAAAATTAATAATGGTTAGGAAATAAAATGTTTCAAAACGGAATACGAGAGTAGAAAATAGTTGGCGATAATGTTTGATATCCGAGTTGTATTGTATCTTTAAAAATATGATTGTCACTATAAAATTACAATCTCTATATATCTATAATTCATGAGTAAAATTATAGAGAATAAAATTATTTTCTGTGGCTGTATTATATTTTCATATATGTTTGTTTTTACGTTAAAATTGTATATTTTAAAATGTTATATATTTATAAGAAAATAGCTGTACACACAAAATTACAAGGGAGGCATATCTTAATTTAAGGCTTGGTTTTTAAGGTGTTGACGAACATCGACAATGACAACTAGTGATCGTTACCAGAATATATTACAATGAATTTAATTAAAGCGTTTTTTAATGCCAAATGTTAAATATCCATCACCGGGCAATCATTGCTGGGGTTTATCCACACCATAAATCTCAGTTTTTATTAACTGCCTACATTTGAATTATAACTCTGTAAGCACTTAGGGAGTGTGACTTTGTTTAAGAGGTGAATTTGTGGGACAAGTGAAGTGAAATCCCGGAATATCACACGAGTTGCATAAAATCATATATCGTAAAGTATGTAATATCAAATGTGATTTTTTTCTAATTTTGACAAAAAATTAAAGCTTAGCTTTAATTCTCTTACTTCATAAATCTTAATTCAGTGAGATAAAATCTAAATTAGTTTTGAAATTCATTTTGAGAAAGATGTCAGTATAGAAAAATGTAATAATTAAAAATGTTTTCACACGATTGAGATTATTTTATTACTGTCAGATGCTTGACAAGCCCTATAAGTAGAATTTACCATGTAATAATTTGTAATGTTAACTATACACATGCAGAAAAAATCGTAGTTATTTGTTAACGTTTAAATTGTTTTGCAATTTTTAAATACATTTTCATGAAAACATTTTTCAATCGTGAAAAAAAATAAATATAAGATATGTCTCCTAAGTGTATAATAAATTCTCGGAAATTGAAAAAATTCTTGGTTTCACATTGTTTTTTCAAAGATTTCCTCGAATTTGTTATAAGGCATTTACCAACCTGTTGTTTAATCTCTTGAACGCTTATGATGTATATAATTGGCATGAGCAAAGTCAATAAATAAATAGTGATTATGACGGATATATACGCTGCTAAATAATTTGTGTCTGCTTACGATGGAAAAGTTTGCTTGTGCATATCTATTATCTATGAAGATCGATAGCTACTAGTGTGGTATAAGTTGTTTTGTTCATAACGGTGTAGATCTTTGAACGGGAATATTATTGTATCTCGTATGTTTCACGAGTTTTACATACATATTTATAACGATTTAGCAAATATATTAACTGAAATAGAGTCAGAACCGCTTGAGGTTATGTGTACATATTCAGGTATTGCTTGTCCCATTTTTCCGTTTACCGGTAACACGAGAATCCGAATTCCTTCTCTATATACTGATTGCAAGAATTATATGTATTTGCAACAATTTTAATATTATATTTGTTCTGTTTTTATTTTCTTAGAATTTAAATGCAGTATACTGTTTGTGACGACCACAATTCTATTGTAAACTGAATATGACGAATATGCTAGGGCAAAAAGGGATAACGCCAGCAAAGAGTGCACTTCTCGTAACGGATCAAGGCGTTCAAGAGGTTAATGTACTATGTAATTCATGTGTATTCTAATAATTTTGTTTGATTATGAACTCTCCCCGTGTTCATATAATTTACGTGTACCTATTTTTTCTATAACTTTTCATTAAAAATCGTTACATTTAAATATATTTTCAATAATACCTAGTAATTTTACCTATCTCAGCAGGTAGTATTTCTGACGCCAATAATTGATGTAATTTAAAGTAAACAAAATTGTGAATATGAATTTATTAAATTCATTGTTAATATCAGCATTTTTCAAATGTTTTGTTGGTATTATAACTGAATTTATGAACTCATATTTAATATCAATATTTTTACTTTAAAAATTATTTCGGTTATTTGTGACAGAAATATTACTTGCAATCCTTTATTACAAGCCACCCTGTATAATAAAAGCGAAATGACCCCGTCATTTATCATCAAGGCCGGCCTGCCATCGAAGGCCTTTTTAGTTCACCCTGACGGCCGGTAGTTTCGCTACGGTTCTGTTTCTCTCTTTTTCTTAGGTGCTCCGTTTTCTTCTATTATATATTTTGTGCAGGGGCCTATAGCCGGCTCTACCAGTAATATAGATAATATGTATATGAGTCTCCTATATACAGCCGCTCGATACCGTCAATGGATCACCCTGTATAGGTACCTACCTAGTTTGCTTTGATTTCTAATGGTTACATTTTATTTAAATTATATTTCTAAAAAAGAATATTTTGGTGAAATGATCAGTTGCACTTGCAATTTATTCAAACATATTGTACCTATCTATAGGCCTATTTTAAATTTACCTATAAGCTAACTCAAAAATGCCCTCTATTATCCGTTAGAGTTTGACTATAAAAACTTTGTCTCCTATATAGTACGAGTAGTGTACCTATGTGAATTAATTTCTTTCAAATAGTGGTGTTAAATTATTAAAATTTGTTAAATAATACTCTAGGTACATACCATTTATGAAGTCAAATTAATATAAATTATTTTTTAATAAAATTGCCAATTTTAAATATCGTATAATTCAAACTTAAACAATGTCAACTATTTTCAAGCTACTTGCCTAATTACTTGAAGTGGTTGGACTATACCTCTTGGGTACCTAGCATATCTCAGTCAAAATTGAATATAAACTGGTTTAGCGACTGTCTAAATGTAGGTATATGCAAATAATCGGTTTAGACTCTAAACTTAGTGATTAGTATTTGTGATTGGAAATACAGATATGCAAAAATTCACTCCATTTTGTTGTGACGAATTGGTGGTGGAATGAAAAAAGCACATATGGGTGAAAATGTAGCCAACTCAAAGAAATACTCATTGCATTTTAGTGTTATTAAGAGAACTGGTGGATGAAAACAAAGAGATTCACATATGCGAGATGCTATTTCCATTAATGTAGTTACAAATTATATCGCTGCTGGAAACAGTTACAGAGGTTTACAAAGAACATCTTATTTTTAATAGCTAATTTAATAAATCTTCTCACTTCTCACTATACAGACATGTCACTTGCACTTGTTTAGTTGTCAGTTAGCAGGTGTATTAGTGAAGGGGGATAAATACTTATGCAAGTAAATAAGAATTGTTTCTATTCACATGATTAAGTAATCAAAAGTTTACTTTCTGAAGTACTAAATGAGGACATTCAACTATACCAGTAATTAAATACAGTTACTTGATTTAGTAACTAGTGTTAACTACTATATAGTTAAGTTACACATGTATGTGTAACTTAACTTTTAAAGATCCCTTCTTTTTGTTTATTTTATTGTAGAAAGTTAATTCTTCAAGTACAAATAAAAACACTTATTGAGAAATTTTTAAAGAAAAAACGTAATATAGCAAAGTATGACAAATATTTATTATCCATATAAATTAACATTACATTATTTAGAAACAAAAAAACGCCTTTTATTTAGTAAACACTGGTTTAAAATTCACACTATATCATTGTCCTGATTCTCTGACGTGAATATTTTCCTGTTTATTTATAATTTTGAATTTGATATATATTTTCAATTATTAATGAGTTATTTTTCCTTTGCACCATTGTCTATAAATTTGTTTATCTTGTTTGTATTTCTACATTTAATAAAAATATGAAAATATGAGAAATTTGTACCTACATTTTTATATTTTCGTTAGTTACAAATTACAGAACTATAATTGATATTAATTTGAACATAATAAATATTAGTTCGCAGTAGCAAGGGGATTTCGCACAACTAAAATAACAGCGTCTCCTCTAAGGAACATTTTAGATATAAAGCGATCTTTATTTACAGGTTTAGCTTTCTTCTTGCCTTTGCCAGGGCGAGGTAGTTCAGTCCACATTTCTTTAACATTTTCCAATACCATATTGCAATGTCGATCAAATGCTTTTACACGACCTAATAACTTTTTATTGTTTCTACAATTTATAAGTACTTGGGTATTGTTTTTTACTGACTGCGTTAAAACTGATAAAGGTCCGGTATTAAATTCCTCTTCTTCCCTGGCTTGTAATTCTTCAGCAGTCATTTCTGATTTCGGTTTTGTTAAAGCCATTTTCTCAAATAAGTTTGATTACACGATTCATTAAACACATCTATTTTTTTTTAAGACCAACTGCTAGGTTAAGATCGTAAAATAAGTAGTAAGTACCGGCATTACCGGCAAACAAGCGGCAATAACTGAACACTGAACACAACCCAAACACAACCGCCATTATTCTATGGCTAGAAATTGGCCTCAATGATTTGGGATCGAGGGGGATTATCCCTCTTTATCCTGCCTCATCTCGTGTAGGCCTGGANAAATTTTTATTTATTAAATACATATCTTTTTACTTGAAATTTACGAAAATGTGTTTCGTGAACAGTGTTAATTGTTCATAACAGATGTTCTGGAAAGCTAAATAAAATATACAGAGTTCTACGTAGTGTTATCTGAAATATCCAGGTTAGAATTTTGAAATTTTTTTTTTTCGAAAACTAGGTTCGACCGCACAAAAAAAAATTCAGATTCATGTTCAGCACCATCAAAAATAGGGGGGTAGACAAAATTTCGTGAAAATTGGAGGTGGTGCCACTAAAGTAAATAATTACCGGTATAAGCACAGAAGAAAGAGTATAAGTGAGGTTATAGTTACATATACAATAATAAAACCATTAGATATATTATGAATGAAAATATGAGAACGGAAATCGTAATAACTGTCAGTCGCGCCACGCGCGCGCGCGCCATTCCATGGCTAGGAATTGGCCTCGATGATTTGGGATCGAGGGGGATTATCCCTCTTTATCCTGCCTCATTTCGTGTAGGCCTGGACAGCCTTCGTAGGTGGGCCCCATCCGTCGTCTAC